ACACATTCATTTATATTCCAAAAGAACACATTTGTCTCGAGGCCGGGGCCCTCACAATTCAACCCGGAGTTATCCCGGCAGTCCTGCCTGGAGGTGCCTGGTCTCAAGCTAGGTCCATGTACAGCCAGGGGGTCCTGCGTTTGTAAAACGCTGGACCCTCAGGAACAGCAAATTTTGACGAGTTTTCGGCCAAAAAACTCGGTTTCAATTTCGTTCAAAAAATAAAAGATGTCCATTTTGACGAAATGGTCGTTTGAGATCCGTTTCAACTTAAATTCATGTTGAAGGATGTACTGCATGATCTCCAGTCAATTTCTATCCTCAGTCTGCACCCCTGCCTTCATCATCCATTTGCCCAACAGGGCCACGTTCTGGCATGCTGGGTCCACAATCCCTAGACCCCCTTCCGATCTTGGTTGTGTAACTTTCTCCCATGACACTTTGGAGACTACGCCCTTCTGGTCTTCTGCCTCTGGTTTCCATAAATATCGGGTAGCCAATGTTCTGATTCTCTGCAGGGTGGCCCTTGAGATAAGGACTACTGCTGCGATGTGCCAGATAAGAGAGAAGATCGAAGCATTGATGATTGTGGCCCTCCCCAACAATGAAATCCCTCTGGCTGCTTTGCAACTGTTTACCCCTGACTCTATCTTGGCTGCTAGAATAGCGTCCTGTGCAGGTTTGTTGGTGCCGAGTGACACCTGCAGCCCAAGATATCGTTCGGATTCTTCAATGCCTACCCTTTTCATTGACCAATCGTTCTCCAGTTCGTAGTTCTGAGGTAAGAAGTAGACCGATTTATCCCAGTTCACCTGTGCTTCCGACATTGTCGAGTACTGATCCAGGATTTGTTTTGCGGCATCCATAGACTCAGAGGTAGCTTCGGTGATTAACAAAAGATCGTCCGCAATGGCTCCAGTAGTTACCACCTTGTCCATTCTCAGTTGAAGACCCCGTATTCTCGGAGACGCCATGATTGTGTTGAGAGCTACCTCCATCTGCACCACAAAGAGGAGAGGCGCTAACAGACACCCTTGTCACAAGGAGCGTGACAAATGAAAGTTATTCGATCTCCTGCCGTTTATCAGGACTGTCGCGGTGGAGGATTGGTACATCGCTGCCACCCATTTCCTGAAGCAATCACCAAAATTCATGTGCTCCAGGGTGGCCAAAACAAATGACCAATTGACCCGGTCATATGCTTTTTCCAAATCTAACATCGCCACCACCACCTGTCTGCCCTCCCTGCTAATTATTTCCAACGCTCCCATGGCAACCAGAATGTTCTCTGCAATCGATCTCCCTTTGACAAAGGCCCCCTGGTCCACTTTCACCAGCTCTGGAAGATGATTAGCTAATCTCCTTGCCAAAGCTTTCACCAGAATCTTATACAAAACATTAAGTAGAGAGATCGGATGCCAGTTTCATACATTTTGCTTGTCCCCTTTCTTATAGAGCAGAGTGATAACGCCTCTGCACATATCCTCCGTTAGCGCCTCGCCTTCCAGCACCCTGTTATACAAGCGTAGCAGAATCGGGCCCACGTTTCCCATGTGGTTGCATAGAACTCCACTGGTAATCCATCGTCCCCTGGCGCCTTCCCCCTTGCCATACTTGTCATTGCTGCCTTTAACTCCTCTAGTATCAGTGGTCGATCCAATGATATCCTTTCGTGCTGGGCCAGCCTCTTATCCGTGAACTGCCATAGGTCCTCCTCTGACTGCATCTCCTCTAGCGTCTGATTCGCTGGCCGCCTGGACGTCAGGATGTCACTGTAGTCCGTAGCTGCGTAAACTGCCATTGACTAAGTGTCTTCTGCCAGATCAGCTTGAGAGTTAAATGGATGCAACAGGGCCCTGATTACTCCGTTTGGACGTGCTGGACACAGTCTCCAAAAAGTCTCTTTCGACATTCGGTCCATCTGGGTCATCCCTCTTTCCCTAGCTCTTTTTGCCCACTCCTCCTGTTGCTCAACCTGCAATATCTCCCATTTGTCCATCCACACATCTCTCCTTTTTTCCCAATATAGGTCTGTTATAGGATCCCGACCTATATTGTCCTCCGCTTCCTTCACCATTTCTCTGCACTCATCCTCCTCCTGGTTCCTTTCTCTCGTCAGAATACGGGAGAATACATCCAACGCTCTTGTCACCATTCTGAACCCCACCTGCACCCACTCCTCTTCCTTTTCAAACCAACCTTTGGTCTATTCCCAGTCTGTCCAGTGTTTTGCACACCACTCTAGTACCCCAGGGTTCTTCAGATGCTCTGAATTCAATCTGAAGAAACCTGTTTTCCTCTGGGATTCGACATTCAATCTCAAGTCCATTACCACTGGCCAGTGGTCCGATAACGGGTCCGGCACCACCTCTGTTTGAATTGCCGCTTCCCAAGCTTCGCCTTTTGCTAGAATCAAATCCAAGCGTCTTTGTGGTGGAGGAGGCACATTCGGATCATCTGATCTTTGCGCAGAATGCCACGTATATCCTGGGCAGTCTGGATTCATTCGTCGGAAGGTGTCTGTAAGCTCATACGCCTCTATAAAGCAACAGAGTTGCCTCGCATCAGCCTTAACCGGTTCGACCGCAGGTGAGTCCAGGCCTGGTTGCAAGACTGTATTAAAGTCCTCTGCTAACACCAAGTTATCCCCTGTTGGAATGATGTTCTGGAGGTCTGAAAAGAAGGACCTCCGTTCTCCCGGCACAGACGGTGCATAAATAGACATAAAAGTCCAAACTTGGTCTGCCATTTTTACCTTCACCCATACCCACTGGCCCCAGATGTCTGACTCTGTTTCCAAAACCTCGACTTCTAGGGCCCTGTGTATGAGGATGGCAGTCCCACCCTTTGTACCATCCGCCGGGGCCCACAACTGTGGGCCTTTCCACCACATCGAAATTTTCTCAATCTTAGGCTCGTCCAACTTTGACTCCTGTAGTAGAACCACTTGAACTCTATGCCTGTATATCCATGATTTAAGGTGTGCTTTCTTCCTTCTTGTAGATGTATCTCCCAACCCCCGCACGTTCCAAGTAGCGACCCGCAACTTATCCATTAGAGGTCCTCGGAGCGGAATTCTGTTGGATCCGTTGTTCTTCCATGGAGTTCCTACTTCCTTTTCTTCTTCTCCCTACTACAGTTCCTGCTGCATTCCGTTCCCCGTCCATATTTGCATCCAAGGGGGATAGAAGAAGGTTCCTGAAAGCTGGTGCGCAGGGTTGTTTATCAAAGGGCAGAGAGGCGCAGAAGTCAACTACCAATTTCGCATTTACGTCCTCAGTGATCTGAATCTTTGGCGCCTCAGCGGACACTTCTGAATCAAACCACTGGGCGGGAACCCACTGTAGCCCCTGGGCTTCCAACGAGGCAGCAATTTCCTGCGTAATTTTTGTGTCAGCAACTGCCAAGTGGAACTGAAGCTGGGGACCATCCGCGATGTTTACTGTCTTTCTGCCTATCCGGACTCCTGGCACTAACCTGAAACGGAAACGGGCAGCACATAACTTGGCTGTAGCTGCACATATCCCCGCTTTGGTATTAGGAACCCCACCCACCTTAACCGATGGGAGCGAGAAGACATCACCCTTGGATTTCCCCACCATAATTTTAACTCCTTGGGGTGCTAGGGAGGAACAGATCAATACTAAAAAATGAACCGTACTATGTTATGTCTGCCCAGTGCCAACTGTAACAGGTTGTTTACCTGTCTGCTTGTTTGCCCTAACAAGGGCAGTCTGCCCACCCTGTCTGTCGGACCCGTGTCCTTGTGGTGAGGCAATATCAATTGACTCTACCTCCCCTTCCTCCTCCTCTCTTGTCGGTTCATTAGTGCCTTCTTCTCCTAATCGTCTCAGTTTCACCGGGGCTAGGTGCGTTTGCAGATTTCCCGGATCATGCATTATGTGGTCCCTAGGGAGTTCCAAAGCATTGTCGCTCACCTGCAGTTCGGTAGGGGTTGGAAGCTGTACCTGCATCGCCTGTGTTGTCTGTATGTGATTCAAGTTGATCGCTCCCCCTGTTCCTGTGTGACTTAGCGGATCCTCTATCCCATATTCCGAATTAATATGAACAGTCACGAATGAACTATGAGGGTGTCCCTGGTCCCTGATCCCCAGAACTTCCGTACCCTGCTCGGGTGCCGCCAGACTGTGTGGGTTTTGAGTACCTACCCTCCCTTGGATCTTGTGTCCCAGGCTGAGCAAAGCGGAGGGGTAGACCCTGATCGGGTTGTTGTGTACTCCGTAGAGGCTCCGGCCATGGTAATAGATGCATCTGTTTCGAGGGGCTTGTAGAAGGCACCCAGGCGTCCCAACTAGAGTTCTCCCTCTGCTGCTGCTGGAGAACCGGGCTGGGTTGCCATGTACCACGTCGGGGGGGTTGAGCTGCAGCTTCTTGTGAAGCTTGCGGGAGGTTTGTCCCGAAGGAAGACTCTCAAAGAATTCCCTGCTGAGCACTTTGAGCAACGAAGGGGGGGGGGGGGTAAGAACGAGAAGGAGGCTGGAATAGAATTCCCTGCCTGACCAAATACAAGTGGACGAGCCACTGGCATTGATGGGGGTGTAGAGAGTGACGAGGAGGGGATTATGGCCGTACTATAATTCAACGCTTATCCTCCTATAGCCATCCCCGGACGGGGGGGCATTCCCCCCATGTAAAGAGCGGGAGATCTCCAGTCCTGAGGGAAGGTGGGGACAACCTGTTGTCCGGCATGGGGTGCAGGTAGGGCTGCCAATGCAGCACCTGCTTGAGGAGGGGGGGGGGGGGGGGGGGGGAGGGGGGGGGGGGGGGGGGGGGGGGGGGGGGGGGGGGGGGGGGGGGGGGGGGGGGGGGGGGGGGGGGGGGGGGCTTGAGAATAAACTACAAGGGCCTCTGTTGCATGTGGTTGAGTTACAGGAGGCTGAGGACCTCTGTCTTGACTTCCCCGCCCTCTGGGCTCTTCTACAAGCGGCTTGCCTCCTGTTGCCCCGAACTCTCTTTTTCTGCCCTGATATCCTTCAGTAGGATGCACATTTCCAGTGACTAATCTTCCTTCACTGCCCCTCCCTCTGCCGTACGAGTTTCCCCCGTTCCTTCCACCTCCCGCCTAGGTCTCTGACCCTCCTCCTCTACCGTCACCGTTGTTCCCCACCACCCCATTTCGGCCGCTCTCTTCCCTTCCTGTATTACTCCCTTCTTCCCCACTTCTACCTCTTCCCTCACCAGAGGTTCCTCCTCTACCCCTTTCCTCCCCCCCTGTTGCTCCGCCTCCGTTAGTTCTTCCATTCCCGGGTAGCCCCCTACCATTGCCTCTAGGATCTCCTCTCCCCATGCCTCCTCCTCTTCCTCTGCCTCTGTCTCTTCTCCCTCGACCTCTTCCTCCTCTCCCTTCCGGCATTGGCTCGTTAAATCTTGGACACTTAGGAGCGAATTCATCATGATACCACCACAGGCATTTGTTGCAGAATGGTGTATCTTGATTTGCAAACTGTACTTCCAAGAACCCTCCACCTGGCTTTCTCACCACCACCCATTCCATGAATCTGTCTTTTACCTCAGGGGCACAATCAATTCGAACGTTCCCTAGCCTAGGTTCTTCTGCTCTCTTCTCAGGGGGGTGCATAATCAACACTTTCCCCATAAATTTCTCAATTGCAAATCTGAGGGGGAAAAGAACCTCGAGGGGAACCCTAAGCGCAATGATCCTGAATTTCCCTGCCATTTCGTTATCACGCATGGTTTCTAATTCCTGTTTGGTCATCCATGGCTTGAACTTGACTTTGACCGACCCCGAACGTGTCGAAATTCTATCCTCGCCTTTCATAACCATCCATTCGACGATTCTTTCCGACCTGGCAACGTATGACGTGACATTAGGACATTCGCCATGAGTTCTCCCTCGTTTCTGGGAGGGATTAACCGTCGCGTCAAGATACCAAGCATCTTCGTAGACACGGATCAACTGTTCCCTTTGAGCTACACTTAATGACATCGCTGGTTCGTCAAAGAGGACAATTACAGTTCTGGCTTTAAGCCAGTTTACCGTGGCTGTGTCAATATCATCATTAAGAGTCAATATCCTGACTCCATCCACAATTTCGGTCGTGTCAAAGTCAATGTTTGTTTTAGGGAAAATCCCATCATCAAAACAGAGGTCAAGGAGGGACTTAATCCTAGCCGCTTCATCGTTTCCCACCAGTGAATTCGAATTCGAGCCTCCACCACCCTGTCCTCCCTGAGGGGGGGGTGGGGGAAAAGGTGAACTCATCATGCCCAATTTCAATCACGTTAACTTCCACAGAGACAGGAGAGCCAACAATTCCGGACGTACCTCTACTTGCTCCAACTAATCCAAACCTGTTACCCTAGTGCCCTGACAATAGGTTTAACTAAACTACACTCTGGCCTTTGACTCTTCGTCTCTGTCAATAAAATGTCGTTGTTCGCACTTACCTTCTTCTGGAGTACCAGTAGACGGCTGGCCCCGATTTTCCATGCACCCATCATAGGGTACCTTCATTGGCTGTTTGTGACTGGAAGACTTCCAGAACTAATCTTCGGAAATAGCTCCCGCATCAGGGACGTGAGCGCTGACGCGCCACGTCTATTCCACATATTCAACATTTGAAGGTAAATACCATAAGATCCTGACCCCTACTCCGCCTCCATTCCTCCTCCTCCCCTGCAGGAGTTTGAACCCGGCCATAACCGGGAAGGCTTCGGCAGATTCCACCGGACACAGGCCTCGCGCCTGCTACGGCGTTAGTGGCACCGGTTCACCCGAACCGATAGCGCATCGCGGAGCGCTCCTGCGCCCGTCGCTACGCCTGTCCCCCACAACGCCTCCTCTCTGCAGCCGGTTTAGCTTCTGAGGTTAACCATTTCCCACTAAATTCACAACTAGTTCTAATCATCTACAACTAATCCTCTTCTAGTAGTACTAATACTTTACCGCTCCCGCTATTACTATTACTTGACCACTCCTACCAAAAAAAAATAATGTATTGTGGATGCCTGCGCTGTCTACGAGCATTGTGTTTTTTTTTTGGGGGGGGGGTAACTACGGCGCAGTCACGAAAACAGTTTGTAATTGCAATTGAAACTGCGTTTTAGGAGTTTAGTCAGGGCCCGAGTTTCAATTGCAGTTGAAACTCGGGCTGCGCAGTTCAGTCAGGGCCCTCGTCTATCCACGAACAGCAGATAAAAAAAAAAAAAAAAAAAAAAACATCCCTTATGCTGTGATTGTTGGCCGATACAGGATGCTAAATGAAGCTAGGCTGGAATCCGCCCTGCCCGGCTGGCAGGGCGCTACAAGGACCTTACAACAAGAAACAAAAAAAAGGAAAACGACCTGTTTCATGTTCCTCACTTCCTGGCCAGATACATTCCTCAAAGCACTGGTGAGGTTAGGGCCTTCCGGACGTAGGTGGATTCGCAGTTTCTTTGCTTTTTTATTTCTTCTTTTTCTTTTTTCTTTTTTTGGCCTCCATCCCTGCCCCTAGCCCCCCACTTCTTCTGAGCAGGCTACTCTCCAGACTTCGCGTTTGGCTGTGAAGGGTAGTGCCTGCGAATCTCGGCTGTGGCCGAGACATCTCGGCCCTGGCCAATCTGGGGTGTGGCCGAGCCGTGGCCATTCTGGGGTGTGGCCGACACATCTCGGCCGTGGCCAGTCTGGGGTGTGGCCGAGACATCTCGGCGGTGGCCCCACCATGGGGCTGGTTTTTTTTTTTTTTTT